CAGAAGATTAAAGGAAAGAGAATGAGAACAAAGAATGATTGGTGTGAAAGTGAACGAACAATAAAGTATGAGACATTCTGCAAAATGAATTATTTCCTGTATGATTCTCAGATTTTACAAAGAGGTTGTATAATTTTGTATTCAAATACATTCTGGTTATCCCCACTTGTGCTGTCGTTCAGTAAACTATTAAAAACATGGAAACACTAGACGACTGTTTCATTCTTTACTGTCTATTAAAACTATTGGATTTCAGCTTAGTGATGTAGAAACTTAACATTCAGTGCTACGAAGCTTTTTTACAATAATGGTTTAACAATGATTAATCATGGTCGATACTATGTAATTAAATAGGAGTCAATTAATGTTAATTATTTATTAATCTAATTGTTTTTATATAGTTTATATTCGAATCATTTCACATGACAACAACATCTTTTACATTAATTAAATTTAATCTTTTCCTTTATTCTACTAGTATTAGTATTGTTATTGATGATTTATATATACATACATACGTATAATCAAAGATGGTTAGTGACTAACAGTGGAATCCAAGACGCTCGTCTCTTCCTATTTGGAACTCGTTAACTAGATTTACCTGCATCCCAGACTTGTTGATGTTCACTCTGGCACTAGAACACAGTACCATTCGCTTCAAACATCATCGCGTTATCCATTTAGCTATTGAGTCCTAATAGCCACTGCTAGACACTATCCATCTTTGTTTAAGAAGCTTATGAATTAAAACAACTGATAGAAAAGAAAATAGAGATTCCTATCCCAATAAATAAAATGAAAGAACTTCTCTTGAAATGCACTATGAATATCTACTTTAAGTTTAACAATGAATTTTTCCGACAAGTAGATGGGGTAACAATGGGATCACCTCTAGGCACGATCCTTGCTAATATTTTTCTGACCAAACTAGAAAATAGACCGCTTAAAGACGTCCTAAATAAGCTTGATTATTACTGTCGATACATAGATGACACATTAATCATATGTGACGAAAATATCGACAAGCAGGAGATGTTAGACGCTTTCAATAATGTCCACCCAGCCATTAAATTCACCAGCGAGGAGGAGAAGGACAATAGCATAGCTTTTCTAGATGTCCGACTCTCTAGAAGGATAGATGGTTCCATAAAGCGAAATATGTTTAGAAAGTGTACATGGACGGGTCAGTATACCCATTTCCAAAGCTTCACACCTCTACAATATAAAATAAATTTGGTTAAGTGTCTCAACCACAGAATCAAGTTATTATGTTCTGAAGACAGTGTGGAGGAAGAAATAGTTATACTAAAGAACACATTACGTAATAATGGCTATCCTGATAATTTCGTCAAAAAATACCTCTGTTATAACTGTGAAAAATAATGCTGATTAAAGGATAGCGAATTATTGATCGGACCAAAGACGCGCAACACGCAGAACGACCTAGGGTTCTGATTAGACTCGCTTCCCTGTCTAGCCCAGCCAGTTGAGTCCAGAACGCAAGTCACAGCCTCGGATATATGAATCCTGTATTTCAAAATGCTTTTTAACCATTCAAGCATCCACACGTGCCATAAAATAGAAGATAATATTGTACAACAATGGCCAACAGGAAAATAACACGTTAAATAAATATTGGCCAATAAGATTATACCATTTCATGTCCAAGAATAGTATTAGGCTTGACAGGATAATTTTTGGGATAATTTCCTGAATATCCCAACACCTCCCTTTTTTGGAAATCCGGAGTTGATGTCCGGATTTTAAATTTTTTTTCCGCGTCTATCCTCCCCCTCGAAATAATGTTGGGTCCTCATATACCCAAGGAACAGTTAGTGTGACTCTATTTGAAGCATATTTCCCGCGTTGAGTAGAGAGTCCACCAGGACTGACTAGATGGTGAGGATCAGCGACAGTAGATCTGAGGTCATTAGGGTTTAAATCTTTAGTAAGTAGTGGAGCATTATGATAATCGGCGTCCAACAAAACTGTACCAGGTTCTTGGTTATTATTTGATGCGTGGAACACATTTTCTGGCAAAACAATGAGATCTTCTCGTGAGCTGGATATGTTACTGTCTGCACATGCTGTTTCGGGGTTGATGGAGTTTGACTCCATTACCGGGCATGTTTCTGGAAGAGAAAGTACTGGACCACTGGGCTCATGATGGATGACTGTTTCGTTCGAAGTACAGTTCATCGAGGATTCATGGAGGCTGCTGTCATTATCCAGCTCACTGTGTATTTCAGATATCAATCCATCGACTTCCGTCGCGTCTTCATAGCATGAGTGATTTAGCAGCTGCGTACGGAATTTGACTAATAACTCCAAATGTCGTTCAAAGAGCAGATGTAATCGATCGGAAGGGTGAGTCATTTTTTTGAATCAGCACTTGTGATGAAAATTACTGTATGACTAATGACCAATGTCGTTGAAGGACACTGATGACAATCTGGATACTGATTGGTTGAATAATTAGACTGGATTTCGTCCAATTACAGAATGACTTTGGATTGTATCTTTTCTTCACCCCGTCGCCAATTGTTATAACGTGAAAAATATTGCTGCGGATTAAGGGATAGCGAATTATTGATCGGACCAAAGACGCGCAAACACGTAGAACGACCTAGGGTTCTGATTGGTCTCGCTTCCCTGTCTAGCCCAGTCAACTGAGTCCAGAACGCAAGTTTCAGCCTCGGATATATGAATCATTATATTTCAAACATGCTTTGTTTATATACCATTCAAGCAGTCCACAACGTATCATAAAATAGAAGATAATATTGTACAACAATGGCCAACAGGAAAATAACACGTTAAATAAATATTGGCCAATAAGATTATACCATTTCATGTCCAAGAATAGCATTAGGCTTGACAGGATAATTTTTGGGATATTTTCCTGAATATCCCAACAACCTCGTACAAAGTATTAAAAAGAGAAGACATTGCGACACAGTCAGTAAAAAGACCTTATATCTGAAACTTGACTTTAAAGGCGACATAGCGGGTGATATTCTAACACGTCGACTCAAAAGATCTGTTGAGAGGACGTTTCATGCCGCCAAGTTACACATAACTTTCTCGACTAAACCAGTACTCACACAACTAATCAAGGATAAGTTACCGAAGATGGGCTCCTCCATGTGTGTATACCAATTCAACTGCTCCTGTGGAGCTAGTTACATAGGCCGTACTCAGAGGGCTTTATCCTTGCGTGTTCGTGAACATGTACCGGCATGGTTGGGAAAAGGAGTCACCAAATCGATTAACAGCACCATTCTTTCTCACTTGGTAGATAGTGAACATCATATCAAAATAGAGGAAGCTTTCTCTGTTTTATATCAAGTTCCAAAATATCTACCTCAAGGAGCTAGATTACGACTGCTTTACACAGCCGAAGCCATCTGGATCAACTACAGAAGACCTAATTTATGCATCCGGAAAAAATATATCCAGCCTCTATGTTTACCCTGGCCTACGACTGGGTCACCGAATACCTAGACTGAATATTATAAACCTCTTACCCCTTCCTTTATTTTATTTATTTTCCTTATTATCATTATTTGTCATTATCTATATCTTAATCTTCATATCCATCATTCCCAATTTGTTGACCGTAATTACCTTGATAACACCCCCCCACTCTTATTACATATTATATTCACACTACATTATTATTATCATTATCTCAGTTGACAAAATTATTTTCAATTTTGCAATAGTACTATTATCTTATTGTGACTGAACAATTTACTGACCTTTATTGAATGACCTTTCTAATTTGCAAATATTACAATTTTTTTCTTTTTGAAGTATATATATATATATATTGTAACAGATGCAAACGTTCACCATTTTTAACACATAACATTGTCAAACTCATTAAAACATGCCTTATTTTTGGCCTTTGTAAAATATTATAATTATGGACTTATAACTGTAGAGCCTGATGATGAAGTTATTGAAGCACAATTGTTCACTCAAATATTCTTCGTTTTTGAATATTCTATGGGAATTTTTAAACTGCCAATTAAAACTAAATCGAGGCAATTCGCACAGGGTACATATATGCCATCATGAAACGGATCAATTGCAGACCTGAATAACAATGGAAAGATACAAGTAAAACAACACCAATACATATGTATAGTTATGCATATTTATATATACCTCAAATCGTAAAATAACCTTCTATGGATACATTTCTATTCTCCGCCGTCCCCCTTCTATCTTAGACTAATATTAATTAGTTAATTACATTTATTTATATATTTAATCATTGTTCCATTGTATCCATTTATTTTTCTATTTATCCTTGATTATGCATTATGATTGGTCAATGTGTGTAATAATGACCTTGAGAGTGACAATTTTATTTTTATAAGTAGTTAAGTTTATAAGTAACTGTCTTGATTACGATTATCATTATTATTATTAGTAGTAGTAATAGTAGTGGTGGTAGTTAAGGTACAGTGTTTTATGTTTTACATCAAAATGATTCTCATTGCATTGAGGAAAAAATTGTTGTTAAACATATGAGACACAAAAAAGAAAGCAGAACAATCATAATGATAATGCATAGTCTGGATTATTCATACAACTTACAATATATAGTTAATCCATAGGAAATAATAGAAAAAAAAAGGGGGAAGGGTTTTTTCCCTTATGAAAATGAAAACTATATATATGCATATGTACAATACCGGTGAATTATGTTTTTACTTCTTTTTTTTTTCAAAAAAATAAAGATTTTACCTTAGTTTCAATGTTTATTGGACAATTGACTAGTTTTGTTTTGTTTTTTTTTCTGTTGCTGCTTAGTTACTGTCTATAAAGATTAAAAAAAAGGGAAAGCAAAAGAAAAGAAGAAAAGAAAAGAAATTATAATCATATATCAAATTCAGTTCATTTACAAACTAATATGCGTATGGAGAAAAAAATTTTTGAAAAGAAAAAAATAATTAAAGAATAAAGAAATTCAATGGAATAGGGTTGTAATGATATTTGAGAAACTTCAAATTATTGAACAATTGAACTTATTGATTATTGAGAGATTGAACCGATTGAACATTGAACAATTGAACATTGAACAATTGAATTCATTGAATATCACATTATTTAATTTAATTCTTTTCATGTTTTGTATAAAATTTAAAATAAACCATCATAAATTATCATTAAATGAAATTGATAAAAATGAAAAATTGAATTTTAAAAAAAAATTAAAAAAATTATTACATCATCATAAATTCTTACGTTATACTATAGAAGAAGATCAATTTCGGTAAGTTTTTCAATGGTATCTGATTGAATTTTTTTTTTTGCCATAAAATTGATTCATCTTTATTGATTTGTGTGGGTGGGCTGTGATACTGACTGGGTACCCAAAAAGACCTAGGTGGTTTTCTTAGAGGGTCACACTCAGAGCTTTTGACCTATATGTCTAATCCACAAGATAGGGTTAGGAGATGCAGTTGGTGACCGACAATAGGCTCATACATACACCATTTGTTTCTTCAGGATACTAGAGTCCATGTGCATCATTGATTCGGAATCATGGTTTTCGAACTTCTCTGAGTGAACCGTACGTTTCCACCAACTTGATTAAAGCGCCGGATATTCGCTTTTCGTTAACAACATCTGAGGTGCGAGAAAGCAGTGATTAGGGCGACTCTGGCTGTGGCTGTATACACGAGGCTGTGTGAGAGCATTTTGATAGGGAGAATTGACTCTCCACACCGTCGACTGTACAAGGGCGTTTGAGGTCAAAACATTGCGTTTTAAAAATACATATATTTGTCAATTTTAAAAATTAATGTGGTGATTAGGAATTGTGCAACTAATAAGTAGTATTTATCATCTGTTCTGATGTTAGATGGTTAGAAGTATTTAGAATTTCACTAAGTAGTTCATAGACATTACAAGTAGTGTTTATCTCAATCGCTATATATTTTCTTGAATATAAAAGTCACATAAAGACAGATATACAGACAGAGTAAAATCATTATTTTCGGTTACTATCAATCAGATCTCACTCTAAAATCTATGTTCTTAGCCTAAGCCAATTGTAAATTTTCGGTATTATTATAGTTTTATAGTTATTTAATAGTTGAAGTCGTGAGTCCCGGGTTCGAATCCCACGATCGGGATCGTGGATACGCACTGTTAAGGAGTTCAATACTAGGACGAAACGACTATCCAGTGCTTCCATGTTTTTTATTGTGATCTAGTTCTAATCAACTCGTCAACTCAACTATTAAGTTATTTTATTATTGAATAAAGTCAATAATAACAATGGAATTCAAGACGAGTATTTAACGTTTTTTAAAGTCCATTATCTGAATTTGCGTGTATCTCATTGTTTATGTTCATAATGATACCAAAACCTGATATCCATAGTTTTAGTCGTTTGACAAATGAATTACAATAGACATCAGTGTATTCAGTAGGTAAGATCGTGGATATGCACTGCTGAGGTGCCCCATACTAGGACGAAATGGCTGTTCAGTGCTTGTACGTTTTCAATGGCGGTGTCTAACATCAATCGATTCATGATCTCAATAAAAAAAACTTTACCATCTTCACAACCATCTACTGGAAATTATCGTATTTGCACAAGATTTACATTTCCTTTGGTTGATGATCTTGTTTAATTGATCAAACTGTATCTACATTCAATATTGATTCATTCACCTAATGAGTCTATATTACTAGAATTGTTTACCGATGTATTCGCTAATTAAAATACTCAAGAAATTTGTTCTGAAGACTTATTGATATTGATTAGCTAGTTGATGTTCAGAATGTTACGAGTATAGAAAAGTTGTGTAATGTAAGCAATTACCAATACACCCAAACACACTTTTAAGATTGGATATTTATGTTTACATAATTAGAATGACAACAAGTTCTTGTCAAATGAAAATCTATTGAAAAACCGATGTCAGTTTTATCTAGTTATGGAATGTCAAACAACATATTTAAATCATCAGTTTATAGTTTTATTAAGTAGTATCTAATAGCCCATTGAAGATTTACAATAATCATTGAGGCTTAATTAGATAGAAAAAAAAACAATCGATTATTTGCAATTGACCTTAATAACAACATAGTAGATTAATTTTGTGATCGAAAGGTTATATCGGAGGTTAACAGAATGTAAGATTAGTCAGTCAGTCAGTAACGACGTAGAACTTCGTACGTACGTATGTACATCAGTTCGTGTTGCCATACCACATTAGCACAGAGATACAGTTGTCCATTCAAATCCCGTAGTGGTAGAGGCGGTAAAAGTATAACCAGTAATCGGAAGATGTTATTCAAGGAGTATAATCCAGTGAAACAAATTTGGAAAGAGAAAAAAAGGGACATGAAGAATTCAGAAGATTAGAATTTGGGAGAACACAAAGAGTGGATGCACTTGCACCATTGCAAAAGATTTTGAGCCACCTCATTCAGGGTCTCTAACCATCGGTTACTATCATCTCAAGGTCCCCAACCAAGTAATCTTCACCTACCAACATGTCATATTTTTCGGGTACTATGAAAGTAATTTTTGCTTTTCATAAACCGAGGTAACACATCTACACAAATACAATTACTTAACTCTTCAAACTTACAATCAAGTTGATTTGTTAGCCTAGTGATTATTATTATGAATGGCTTTATTCAATGTTACATTTTTAGTAAAATTTGGAGTTTTCAGCACAAAGCATTTCAACAAGTCCCCGTTTCTTATTTCTTGATCGATCGTGACGATAACATATTGAGTGATCACCAGTTAGATGTTAATAGTCCAGTCAATCTACTTCTAAATAATTTACATTCTTTTTGATGCATATTACCAGTAACCACAATATCTCTGATTGGGCTCTTTCATAATTTGTACAGTGAAAGGTCTTGAATGTTTCATAAAAGCACTTGAATAGGTTATGCGACTAATGGGAATAATCATATGTTAAAACAAACAAGAAATCAGATGACTTGTTGAAATATCTAGATGACAACAACAAATAGTTCAAATATTCAAACATGCCGCCTAGTTACACATCTATCAACCTTGTCAACATTACTAAGTGACAGTGAATTTGCCTGGCTTAGAGTATAACTTAAGTATATTAATTTACATGTCTTATAATTAAAGCAAAAAAACGAAAGAAACACATTCTAAAATGCATCATATACCGATTACATTACTGTTATAGTTTTGCTGACAAATCCTCTGTATTTCTATTCCTTTAAGAATATTATTATTGTCGAGTACGAAAGGCACTACTACTACTACTACTTTCAGCATCTTGATAATCTAAACTTTGACAAAAATCTTCTATTCATAATTATCTACGCATGAAGTTGAGACTTGTGGAACTAAATAATTTCCAAGGTGAGATATTATTTCATCTTTGGCAAATTGATAATGAATGAGCAATATCAAAAAATCAATGAGATTCCTACAAGTTTGAACATAATGAGTGCTGAATGCTGAACAATCCTATATAAATATAAAATAAATGCCTAGTGTTTAGGTGACTGTCTAACTAACATTAGTTCATGATGTAAAATTTAATCGAATCAAATAATTTCTACAAATTCCTTGTTCAGTTCCAATTAGGTCGTGGAATTGAATGTTATGATTGCATTGAAAAACTATATACAAATGGCATTTCTATAATTGAATTCATGAGTCAATTGAAGCAAGACCATCATGGAAAACCTGAAAGCACTGAACGGCTGTTTCATCGTAGTATGGGACTCCTTCGTGACAGTGCGCATCCACAATCCCACTCACGAGATTCGAACCCAGGACTTATGGGTCTCGCGAGCAAACAGTTAAGCTGTAGACCACTGAGTCGGCCGGCATCCAACAGTGTTCATGTCTAACTTCAACCAATTCACAGAATTTTCTCCACTATCCATTATTATCTTTAGTGAGTTACTATCTCACAACAGACTTTGTTACAGCAAATAAACCAACAAATATTGATGCCAAATACTTTTATAACTGACATGGATATTGAAGTTTTTAGTTAAAATAACATTAATAGAATGAAAATCTTAAATCAGTAATTAATTGATTGATTAACATATTGATCTTATGAAGTTCTTATTAGATAATCATGTTTTTCTACTGATTATTCATTCCAAATATAGAGAAATAATGAAATGACAAAAATTCATATTGTCATTGTGGTACGGTATATGGTTTGACTCTATCTGTTGTTCAGTCTCCAGAAAGTATTTGTTTAATTGGTATTCAATGTTTGGATGATTTGAAGTAATTTCAGGGTTGAGAGGACCAAAATTTCTGTGGTTTATTTTAGGCCTAATAGTGAATGAGCACTGGTAAAGTATCATACTAGGATGAAGTATACGTATAATGCTCCATGGTTATCTTGTCTGTAGTGTAAACTACAAAATGAATGATCATTATAAGCTATCCATTCTAATGAATTTGAAGAGTTGAAAATGCTTAGCTTAGTTTTATAAGGTGTCACTGATTATATACTTTAGGTAAGAAGAAGTCAATTTTATAGTAACTGATATAAACATGTAATGAGTATAAGGTGATACATTAAATCATTTATCGGATTTAAAGAAACTTGAATACCGTAGCCGCTACCTTAACGTGATGGTCAGGCTTGCCTATCGTAATGACCCAACCGAGCTATATTGGCTGGAACATATGTTCATTTATGTTCTATCATGCAAGGCAAGTAGGTTAGAGAACGGTAAGACTAAAAGTAGCAGCTTAAGGTCGGAGGGCACTGTCGTACTGCTGACTGTAGAGAGGTGTGACAGTAGTGAGGTGTTTCCCTCGGACAACCAGCATCTGCAGCGATGCTGACTCCTCAAAAGGAAGGAAGGGGTTAGAAGAGGTGGACCCTAAAAATGTAACACCTTACCTTACCTCACGGATTTCCGTCTCTGGCGGTAAGGCTCTTTGAAGAGCGGAGCCAACACGTCAAAAACCTCCCACAAAAAGGCCGTGCGCAACCGGCCTCAAGCAGTTGTCCCTTAGACTCTGCTGTCAATCTCCCTGGTTGCTAAGACCAACACCAATCCAACTTCCTTTTCAGGTTCCTCAAGAAATACTCTCCAGCGGAGTGGGTAGCCAGGAAGTAACATCACCCCTCATACCCGTAACAACACACGAGATCAAGTCGGTCACAATCAGATGCTTCCTACACCTCCTAATAACTCTTATTTCCACGACTAACCCATCTTACGTCCCCTTATCCCTTAGCGCCGCTAATGCAAACGATTCGAGTATTTTCGGTCTCTTGA